ACACTGCCACTTTACCCATTTTTGTTTACTAGTTACCCTATTTGATTGGTTATTTTAGAAAGAGATGAGGAGAAAGTGAAAGTACAACCTGTGTTGTGTATTCCTGATTTGCTGGTCAGTGAATGTTACACCGTGTTGTTCTCTTGACTGCTTGTTTAGTTGCTTGTTTTCCTGTTTAAATTTTGCTTTGTTTAACTGGCTGGCATTCTGTTCTTGGGCTATATCCAGATTCCCCTTTGTTCTGCATTATTTCATACTTCAAAATGCTTATTTAACTACTCAAGCAACATTCAGGGGGGGAATGCCAGTGTACCGGCTATCAGATGGGTGAATGTGCACAATAACGTTAAGTTTCTACACTGCATTAATAATTTACTTAAGAGTAAAGAAGCATTTACAGTTTAATCTTGTGTGTGAATCAGGTTTTTTTGTTTTAAAATGAAAAAATATACAGGTACAGTGTTGAAAACAAAAAGGATAGGATGGGAAGTATGAAGAATATGTAGATAATAATCCAAAAATGTGTGTTAAAAGTCCAGTGTGTAACATTTAGGCAGGATCTATTTACAGAATATTCACAGTATGTTTTCATTAGTGTATAACCTGTAAATAAGAATTGCTGTGTTTTTATTACCTTAAAATGAGTTGTTTTTATCTACAGAGGGAGCGGGTCCTCTTCCACAGAGACCCCATGTTTCTACGGTAGCCCAGAACGGACAAACCAGACACCAACCATTATAGGGTTTTAAATCACTTACATGTTAGATAGCGTCTGAACAGTAGCTTAATGCAGGTGAACCAATAAGGGGGATATATGCTATGAATGTGTTTTTTTGCAGGTGAAAATGTAATCTTCAAACAGCTGTGAGGTAAATGTAGTGGATTGTCTCTTAAAAATGGAAATAGTGGATGTATTTCTAAAATTACGCCAAGTTAAATGTACTACGTACCTCTGGAAAGCTAATTCAGAACAGTGTTAAATACTGCATCTGCCATAACATACATCTATAAGGAAACAATGCATCTCCATGAAGACTACACGGTTTCCATGTGGCACTAAACCGTCTTTACGACAGTGTAACGGCGCGTGTTTGCCGAGGTCGTAAAATTGCTTGTTTGCCAATATAGGGAAATATTACTACAGCAATAAACATGTTTGACTTGAAAAAAACAAACAAATAAGACAGAGGAGGTACACACGGAGAGGAGAGAGAAATAAAGAGGCTTCAGTTCAGCTGTTATACAGGGTTGGTTGGCAGAGTGCGTGCTCTTTAGTTTTTGTTTTTAGCTTATTCAAACTGGTGAAACTGGACAATAGAGGAACTGGTTAGGTAAAGCAAGACATGTTAGGACAAAACTTTAGTTTGTTTCTCTATTTTTAGGCCTATATGGTGTGATACAGTGTTCCCTCTTTTTCATTTTGTGGTCAGTTGTTGTTCTCATCACATGTAGCTCCATGTAGAAAAACAGCTTTGGTCTATTTGGAAGCTGTAGTGGTTTGTGGTGCTGTTGAAATATGTGTTGAGAACATTTAGTCTTAAAAATGTGTGCAGACACAATATAAGTAACATCCCTTAATTTCAGTGGTTTGCAGCAGTGCATGAATTGGATCAAAAAAAGGTGCCGGTACCCTAATTCAGCACAACCCTAACCCCTAAACACACCATAAATCTTTAACCTTTGACATTTTCTCTTATGTCATTTGCTATGTTCTTAGCGTTAAGTGAGCTGGGTTTACACAGAGACGCGGTTATGTGGGTGTTAGGGAGAACCTCACCAGCACACACACGTTTCAGAAACACAGAGGTCCAAAACAAATACACTGAACTTCTCAAAGTAGATATTTTAAGGCAGTCAGTTTGACTTCAACTGGAAAAAAAAAAAGGTCCAGACCTTGTTGACCATCCTCAGCAGAGGTGGAAGAAGTAAGGGTACTCATATGGCTCATTTCAGGCACTGGTCTCCAGCAAAAGGAGGAATACTTTAACTTTTATTAAAAAAAATTGGGAAGTTGGAACAACACAACGAAGGCTCGTACTGATTGATTTAGACTTTTATCATCTTCAAACCTTAAAAACAAATAATAAAAAGTCCTTAAACTGTGCATTCGGGAAGCTGTAACACCGTTTATATAAACCAGCACCACAAACTACAGCCCCATATATATATTATACATTATATAGTTATATCAGAACTCATTATGAAGCTATTCATCTAGCTGTATCTAATTAACAGTGTGACCTTTGCCCTCCCCTCCTCTCCACCTCCATCCTTCTACCTCTCCATTTACTACCTCATCCTATTTGCATAGCTGGACCAGAGCGCTCGTGCCCGCGGTGCTCGCGCCCCCGCACACTCACTCACCTGCCTCACACTCACAGAAACTCTCTCGTGCGCAGAGCAGACGCAGACTTTTCTTTAACACCTGTTTTTTTTATATATATATATATTTATATATATATACAGAAAAGTCTATTTTAAGGGCATATTCTTTTACTTTTTACCCGCCTTTAAAGCTTTAACGTGTTTGTGGCAGCAGTAAGAGGATGACGTTGGAAGTCGACGCGGAGGGAAATTAACCTTATCGTGTGTGAGAGCCGACTGACGTTAAAAGGTGAGGACGAGAGAGGCGTTAAGGTTAATAAACAATGAGGTAAGAACATTATTTATCCTTACAAACATTACTTTTTGTGCTCGCGTTAACGTCTAAACTCGTTAAAGTGACTGAACCGATAATGTATGGTATAAAAGAACAGCTTGTGGCAAAGTTGACGGGATAAAAAATGACTTCATGCTGGTTTTAATGTAATGTTTCTATGTACTGAAGTGACTTTTATGAAGGCTTTTGCTTTGCACACCGGCAGCCGCCATCCTTTACCTTACACTGCAGATAAAGTTAGATTTATAGAGATAGCTTTGTTCCCACTCATCATCAGCATTCATCTTTCCCCACTGGTGATAACATCTTTTGCCGTAATTCAAATTCAGAAATTCAGCGTTGGAGGTATAAGGTTAATCTCTCTATCTGCGTGGTTGAAACAAGACTTTATTTTACCCCTCAAAAGGAAGACATTGTGCATGGAAAATAAATGTTTATCACTAGAATAAGTGAAGAAGCTGGATATGTGATATTCAATAAAAGGAATAGAGCTGAAAGAAGCTTAAAGTTGAACTTGGTTGCTCCCTTTTATACATGAATAACAAAATGTTAGTAATTGGAGGACTTCATCTTGGGCTCTTTTATAGAAAACAAAACAATGTGAGAAAATGGAATAATGAAGAGAAAGTTGCAGCCTTATGTTAAACTACAATAGAAGACAGTAGCCAATAGCTGTCATTTGAAAATGTCAATCTTCTAAAAGTGACTGAAAAGTCAAATGAACTGCGTCTACCTTGATCTCAACCGGGACATCACTGAATAAACCAAACTATTTAAATAACATGAAATAAAAAAGAAAACTACACAGTCTTCCTCCTGGTTTGACTTCGGTCCAGTGTTCGTTTTTTTGGAAAACCCCTGCTCTCTTTGCTTCACAGTGCCTCACAGAGACAAGCAGAACAGAGTAGTGAAACCAGCAGACAGGGAAAAGGGACACCAGTGGAAGAGAAACACACACAAACAAAGAACAACAAAATGCACTGCCGTGACCACACAGTGTCACAGCAGTGGGATCGCCTTAAAGAAGAGACACACAGTGGCTCCCTTGTGACAGCGCAGAAAAGAAACCAGATTGTTGCCATTTCACGTAAAAAAAAAAAGGGCAAAGCAGAAGGTCAGTCAAGGTTAGCTGGTGAATCACATGAAGTACTGTGTAATCCCTCTGTGATTTGGCCGTTAAATCACATTTGGGATATAATGTTTGAGGCCGGAGCAGAGCGGAGGAAGGTCGGTATTTTGCACACTGATCTGTCGTGTTGTGAGAGACAGTTGTGCTCCTGAGTTCAGACGATAGGGAAGGAGGGAAGGAAAAAGGCAGAGCAGCACTGAGGCAGATCAGCGTAAAACACCAAGTGTAGGTGGCGGCTGGAAAATGTTTTTAATGCGCGCTGGGTGCGTCGCTGACATTGTCATTCCAGTACACACCTGAACAGTGTGTACGTGTGTCGTGCATGAGTGTGTGTCATTGGGGAAGAGCGCGCAGCTAGACTAACAAGTTTCTTTTTTTTTTTTGCATAATGGGGAAGCGACTAGAAGAAGTTTGTCATTAAACTGGAATCAGAACTTTGTGTGTTTGTTCTGCGCTCTGTGCTGATTTTGCTGTAACTTTTTTTCTTATTTTCCTTTGGGCAGCAGGACTCCTCTTTCACCCGGCATGGATCAGCACTCGACAAAGGAGATCATGCTATGGTTTAAGATTCCCTACCAGCGATCTTTGGGGCCTTAATGGATCAATGCGACCCCAGAAGGAACGTGTGTCACCGCCTTCGTCATAGTCGTCTATTTTAGCTGTAGGAGAGTATTGGAAGCAGAGGAGCTGGACTCTCACTGGGATAGTCTCAAATGTGATTTATTTATTTCATCTGACACACAGACACAGGTGGAACGTTCTCTCCCTGCTGCGCGGGCACAAACAACACCTGCCGACAAGGACGAGACAAAGGAGGTAACGCCGTCCTAGTGTACTTATCATGTAGACAGGCAGACGGAGAGACGGACAGCCGGAAAACGCGAGGTGACAAGTCGATAGACGGCGAGATCCCTCGCACTCGCACAGGTCACAATGCCAGACGAGTCGCAAGGTTTTCAGGAAAAGGGGAGGCCTGGAGAAGAAGCGTCGCAGGTGTCTTTGGTGCCAGACATTATGGCCGTCTCCGGTGATGGGAAGGGCAAAATGTCCAGAGGTAATATCCTGGAGCTTGACGACTTCAGTCACACAACAGATGGCGTAAAAGCACAGAGCAGTGACGGTGACGTTTTGCATTCAGGAGACGGTAAACCCCAAGTTTCCGTGGAGGTGGGTGTCGCGAAAACAGCGCAGGCACCTGAGCCTCTCAAGGCCAGTTCTTTGTTGAAGGGGACGGGCGTGACCCTGCAGGCTACGGATCACGCCGCCCCGGTCAACTCGTCCTCCGATAGGCCGCAAACTGACAGCGGGACTTCACCGCAAGCAGACGGCGGCAGCGACTCCGACTACAGCAGCACAAAGTCCAGCTTACCTGAGCTCGATAGAAGCTCCTTTGAAAAGACGAACTCTATCTCCCCTGTCAATTTATCCGAACCCAATTTAGACGCTTCAGACAAAAACACCAAAAGTAGTTCAGCGAATGACAGAGACATTTCTGAAACCGACTTTAAAGAGAAAGCAGAAAACTCCCTGAGTGGCAATTCGCCCCCATTCCCCGACGTTTCAGCCCAAATCTACCAAACGAGGGACAGCATTGACATGAGGTGGGACGAGGAGGACAGGGACGAGGACAGGCGAAGCACCCAGTCCAGGCGGACTGTGAAAGAAGGGGTGTTTTGCTGCTATCAGAAGTTCCACAGGGCTTTTCTGCAGTGCGTGGAGGAGACACCGGCCATGTTGTCTGGGCTGTTGCTGTCTCTGGCTTTCTGCGTGGCCATCATTGTCCTCATTCCCACCACCAGAGAGGTGAGACGCGGAGAGAAAGAGCGTGCGTGGGAGAGAGAGGGGAGGGTATTCTGCGTATGTGCACGCATAAACTATTAAACTTTACATTTATTTCGGTCAGTTTTGATAATCAACTAATGGTTAAGTTATTTATCGAGGAAAAGTGTGAGGATTTGCTCATCACCTTGAGCTCTGACATTTTTCTGACACTTTAAATGATGATTAGAGGAAGACTTACTTTCATTATTGATTAATCTACTAATTATTGTTGCCATTCATCTATGAAACCTCAAAGAAATTGTGGGAAATTTCCACGACAGCGTCTCAAAGTTCACGTTGACCCAAAAAAGAAAAGCAGAACGTCGTCAAACTGAAGCCTGAAAGCTCAGTTTCAGTTTTCAGAGCCTGAAACCTGAGAATTTGGAGTATTTTCAAGATATTCGCTTGAAAAATGACATTAAAAAAAGTTGCTGCTGATTGTTTTTCTAGCAACCGATCAATCAATTATCCGACTAATCATTTAAGCTCTAAATAATTGAAACTATAATGACTTACTTACTTGCTTGCAGCTGTCAACACGAGCACTTGGCTGAAAAAAGGTTTTATAGCTAACTTCGCTGGGGGCCGAGGGCCGAATAGAGAACGAAACACCACAACACTTCTGTGCATCATCAGTCTGCATGACGTCTCATTCCCACAGTATGTAGGTCAACTGCGTCAACCTGCAATGAAAAAGACAATCGTAACACAACATCTTTGCTCATTAGATTGTGGCCTCATTAAACTGAAAACTTTGTATTGTGGTAGTAATGTGCGTCCACATTATTGGACAAAACTACAAAACAATGACACCAGAGTTGTAAAGAAACCTTCTCTTTTAAGCTCTACAGGATGACTTTTTTCCTCTTAAAATAGAAACCTTTAATTGTTAGCAGTGCTGTAGATAACTCAGACAGGATGTAATGAAACAATTTTATCTTTTGCATATTGGTATCTGTGGTGTGTACAGACTATTGTGCACCTTTTGCACAGGAACTGGTGCTTTTTTTGTTTGGTTTCTCATGAACTGAAATGTTCCACTTTAGTTTCTTGGTCTATCATCAGTTTTTTAATGTTTTCTAACATCATCAAAGTAGAAAAGGCCAGGGTGCTGCTAGTTTGTCAACCACTTACATAGAGTTGTACCCTTTATTTGGAGAATTATTACCTAAATATCAGAAAAAAAGTATCACACATCACTTTGTCTGGTCGCAAAAATGAAAATACCTTTACTTTCACAAGGCCGGATGAGATTAAAAACATTGCACCAGCTGTTTAAAGCTAAGCCTGGCTTTCATGTCTAATGAATAAAGGCATTTTAATTCTAGTGTAGAGCAGACAGGTGCTTTTTGGATAGTAAACAGCTGACTCAAAATAGGACAATGCTAGCTAGGTCTTTGCAAATGCATATTAACATGAAAAACTCTCTGTCCTCTGTACCACACAGCATCTATGCAGCTGTAATAGCCTTGTAAGACATTAATGCTGCTTTGTTAAACTGTCCTTAACGCACTAATTAGCCGTTTTTGCCCAATCTCCGCCTAGAACATCGATGACCACGTAGGCGCTCTGTCGGTGGTGTGTGTCGTTCTCTGTCTGAGCGCCATGCTGCTCGTCTGCCTGCCCTGGCTGGCCACGGTGAGGCGCTGTGGAGGAGCCCTGGCCCTCTTCGTCTGGGGGACGCTCTACATCACTGCCATAGTCTTCATCTTCACCGAAAAAACCATCAATACGTGGGAGCAGGTGAGAAGGAAGTAACACGAATTGAATTTTAGTTGACTTACTCTTTGAACTGTCATTAACCTCTAACTCTCATTCCCGTTTCTTTCTTCTTCCTCTCCTTCGCTCTCTCTCTTACCTCCTCAGGTCGCGTTTTTCCTCTTCCTCTCTCTGAGTGTGTACACAGTGCTGCCTCTCTCTATGGCCTGGGCCCTTATGGTCGGGATAGGGACCAGCGTATCGCACATCGTCATCATCAGTGTCTACGTCCCTGTCACAAGCCCAGAGACACCAGACCTGGCAGTGCAGGTAAAAGATTTGCTGTGTTTGAATACATTTACGTGAACACTTAGTGAACAGTTTAGCCTAGCTCTGTTCAAAGATACAAAAACAATGCAGCTTACTAATTAACACAATGTATTAAATAGATTTCGCGTAATTTGTAATCACAGCTTTCGTTTGTCCACGCTTGTACGTAGTTAATTATAGGGGGAAACAAATAGCAACAAAGCTTCAAATGTCAACACAGGCAACGATTTGCAAATGAGCTTTTTTGAATAAATGTGCTCTTTTTGCATGTGCCAAAAAAAAAAATAGCATCCAAATTCAAATTCATGTGAAGGTTAAGTTCAGAGCGTGCACAGTGCTGTTTTGTGGCCTGTGATCAGCAGAGCGAACAGTCACACTGGAAAAAATGCAAATAATCTGCATCCCTCTTTACTGGTTACCAGAGAAATCCTAAATCTATGAGGGGAGTTTTAAGATAATTTAAAAAATGCTATGGAGCATTTTATAGGACAAACAATAACAATAACCTCTCTCTTCTCCTCTGACTTCCTTCTCAGCTGGTGGCGAACGCGCTGCTGTTTGTGTGTGTGAACTGCATCGGGATTTTCCATTTGTGGATGACCGAGCGCGATCTCAGGATATCCAATCAGAAGAGAGAACAGTTCAGCAAAATACGCTCCCAGAAGGAAATAAGGAAGTATCAGCAGGTAAAACACTAGCTTCAACTCAACAGACCATATGGTTTTTATTGAAAGTCAAAATTGCTTTTAATTAGCCTTTATTTGTCTGTTTATGGCAGTGAGGGTCACTTCTTATATAAAAAAAACATCCTGATTTAACTTTACTGACTTGATTCCTAGTGGTTCAGTTATTATCTGTTTTATTTAAAAAGCATTTAATGCAACAAAAGTCACATTTTCACTATAAAAGTGAGTAAATATTACTCCATTGATGATTTGATACTAAGTGGATCCTTTTGCAGAAATCCAATCTAGGTCTCTTCTGTGAATTTAAAATCATTATCAGTGTAATAGTTCTCATTAAAGGGCCCTTCACCTGAACAGCCTGCGTCGGTTACTGTATGCTTTTCTGGCTATTAGGGCAATAGATTAATCATTCACTTGTCTGAAGCCCGGCAGCGATAGAACATGCAAACCCAAATGGATACTATTCACAGCAAGTAAACAAAAAGACGAAATGCGATCCACTAAGTAAACATGGCGTCGCTTCAAAGAGGCTTTTCATGGCCGCCGCATTTTCTTTTACAGCCTTTGTGAACAGATTGTCGCGACTGTAAGAAACAAGAGCCAGAGCTCAAGGTTTTTCAAAACTCATCACCCACCTCCTCTGTACACATCTTTACCCCCCCCCCGTCCTCTCTGTGTCCTTGGCAACAGGAGCAGCTCCTCCTGTCGGTGTTGCCTCGGTACATCGCCGTGGAGCTGAAGTCGGAGGTGATAAAGAGGCTCTCCAAGCCCAAGAGTGACAAGGAGAATGAATCCAACTCCAACAACTTTCACAGCCTCTATATACGGCAGCACAAAGACGTCAGGTGAGGATCGTGTTAGGTCCTTAAGGGGATGTTGAGTTTCACAAGCAGAACTCCTTCTATCCATTCCCGTTTTTTTGATATTTGGATGGATTTGTATACTTGTCTTATATATACTGTGTTGACTCTGTAGAGATGAGTCACTAACGGCTGTAATCATGTCACCGCGTGCCTAATATTTGTGTCTATCTGTGTGGGTTCTTGCAGCATCCTGTATGCAGACATCGTGGGCTTCACAAAGCTGGCGAGCACCTGCTCACCAGAAGAGCTGGTCGCCGTGCTCAACAAGCTCTTTGGCAGATTCGACGACATCGCCAAGGTAAAAAAAGACCAACACACCCTAACTCGAGCTTTTATTTAGTTGCTAAGGAACAAGGTAATTCTGTGTCTGACTCTCTGTCTCTATCTGTAGAAAAACGGGTGTCTTCGCATTAAGATCTTGGGTGACTGCTACTACTGTGTATCTGGTCTCCCTGACCCCATTCCCACCCACGCCAGGAACTGTGTTCAGATGGGACTGGACATGTGTACTGCCATCAGGTCAGTTTATCTGAATTCATCTGAAGTTTTTCTTCTCCAGTTTGTCTTCTTTTGGAACGATTCAACATTTATTTGAACACTTATTCGTGTTGTGCTTTCTTTCTTCGTCGTGCCTTACACCTTATTTCGGTTTTCCCAGCCTCGGGAATGAAAAGCTATTCAGTGCTTTTGATTTGCATCTGATGCCAGTGGACTCTGTGTAACTTCCTCATGGTGTTCACGGCACTATAGCTCAGAGCGTGTGTGTGATACCACCGCGATATGTAAAATGACCACCATATTCTCAAACTGCACATTTTAAGCAGGGTCTTGTCTCGTCCTGTTGCATTTAATGGGGATTTTAGTGCTCAGTTGTGTGGGATTCAGAACAGATTTCTTTAAATGTATGTAAAATACAATGAGAGAAAGTTGTTAGGCACCTTAAGTTTGTCATCTGTCTTGTTTTTAGTGTTAAATTTGAAGTTTTTATGTCTCCTTACTAAATCTATAGGAATAATAGGAAATTAGGATACTTAAAACAATGTGAGATATATATAGTTTAATTAAAGATAGCATTACAGTAAGTTTTCCTAGTGTGACAGTTTGTTTTATAACATATTTCTCTTAATGTTTTGTCTCGTTGGTGCTATTCATAAAACAGTGTAAAAACATTTAAATATTAAATATTTAAAATAAGGTGAAAGTTAACTGGATTATTGGACATTATTAATACTTTTTATCTCTCTGTAGTAAACTGCGAGAGGCGACCGGGGTTGAGATCAGCATGCGTGTGGGCGTCCACACCGGCAACGTGCTCTGCGGCGTCATCGGCCTGCAGAAATGGCAGTACGACGTGTGGTCACATGACGTCACGTTAGCCAACCACATGGAGTCCGGAGGTCTTCCTGGGTGAGGAAATCTTAACGTCTGCTCAGAGATAGAGTTAGATTTATAGATGTTGAGCTTAGTTTGGTTATTAATACTATTATTATTATTATTAATAGGCGAGTCCACATCACAGAGGAGACACTGCAGCACTTGAATGGAGCGTACCAAGTGGAGGAGGGGAACGGGGGGACTCGGGATCCTCTTCTTACAGGAAGAAAAACCTACCTGGTGATTGACCCACACAAGCCGAACAGCATTTCAAGGAGACCTAAAGTGGTAGGTGTTAGTTGTAGTTGGGTTTTTGTATCACGTGTGTGCCCATCTGCAAATTGAGTGCACCTTAAGGGCCCTTTCTTGATGTACAATGTAGTATATTTGTGCTTTATTTGTAGTTACCCGCCTGTTATCTGAACAGGATTACATACTTTTTTGTTGACCTTATGAAAGAAAAAGTACAGTCATGACATTTTAACTTTTAACTGATTGTTCTGGTTTGATAACCTGACAATGTGTGTTTATTTTGAAAAGCTCAGTTAAAAGAGACTATTTCTTTAATTGCCGCAATGGTACTTTTTGCTGTGATCTCGCTTCCGGGAGGGGAAAAAAGTAAAATAATCTCTGTGTTCATTTCAGGCAAACAGTCTTGCGTCGGGAGAGAACAGGCAGCGTGCGTCGGTCCGGATGTCTCAGTACCTGCAGTCCTGGAGGACTATCCACCCCTTCGCAGACCTAAGCAACCCTGACGCCAAGCCCTCCAAGAAGAAAATCATCCCCACCAATGCGGTCATGAACCAGTCGCAGCTGTCTGCAGTATGTATTTGTGCTGCTCCCCTCATTGTGGCTCACTTAGTTTCTCCCACGTACTGAGCTGCGCATGAAAGTAACAAACACATATAAGTGGACATACACAGACACAGTACATATATAGATAAAATGATATGTTTGTTTTCCTGTTGTAAGTATACATATTCTCCAGGAACATGTGGTCTTTGTAATGGTTAGTCATTCAGTAAATATTACGCACCACCTCTGGTCCTTTGTCTCTCGCCAGTGTTTGATCATAACGTCTGTATTGTGTATTTAAAAGAGAAGTGACATTAGGTCATTCATTCTGTTGTGTTTGTGTGTTTGCTTCAGGAAAGAGCACCTTACCAGAGCTGGTAAGTTCCAAGATACATTAACAACAGTGGTATTTTATTTAAGTTCAAGTCCTAAATTGAATGATTGAACCCACTAGTTGAATCAGGAATGCAGTATATTGTATTTAAAGCTGTTTCTAATGTGTTCTTGTGTTGTACCAGTTTGGTTGTGGATAATCGTGTTAGGGGATCACTGGACACGATAGAGACTGCGGGGTAAGTTCATCAAAATGATGCTGTAGATTGTTTTTGTGTTACTCTGCTCCCTCTGTGTCCGCTTGTAGAAAGCCATAGGAACATGTCTCATTGTTCTTTTGATATATTAAATAACAGCTTGTGAATAGAAGTCATACTGATCTTTGTAAAAAAAAAAAAAATAGATAAATCCATTGATTTTTTTGACTTTATAGATATTTTGAGATCAGTTTCTTATCTGATTATTTTGTATTTTCTATTAAGGAGAAGATTAAAGAAGCTCAACTGTTTGACTCTGCTGTTCAACGACCTGAGCCTGGAGAGACAGGTACCCTCACTCAGTCATACATGCAGTAATATGTATTCATGAATTAGAGTAGAAACAAGCATGATGTACAGTAAAGTATGTGTGTGTGTGTGTGTTTGCAAATCTATTATTTCTACTGCGTTTGTCTCAATATCTGCGTGTCGTTCTTCCAGTTCCGCCTCTCAGAAGTCAAGGGTTTACACCATTCAATGAGCTGCATGGCTTTGATCTTCGTTACTCTGTTCGCCGTCCAGATGCTTGTCTCTCCAAAGTGAGTAGCCCTTTTGTCACATGTAGTGATGCAACCACTTTAGTTTCATGTATTCATACTCATTATGCCTGAATGAAATGAAAGTGAAATCCAGATTTCCCTTATTTTTATGGGAAATCCCTTTAAATAACTTGTGATTCCCCTTCGCCCTCAGTAATGAATTGGTCGTTTCTCGGTCGCTGACTCACTCAGTCTCTCGCTCACCAACTTACGCACATGCACCTTTGTTTGCTTATTCTGAAATGATGGATAAACTGTGTAAATGATTTGTTTTCTCCCAGTAACTTTGTGATGGCCGTGTCGTACGGCGCAACCTTCCCTGTGCTGGTGCTGCTGCTGTCCATCGCTTTCACTGGATACTTGGAGGTAAATGTGATATGTTAATTGTATTGGTAAGAAGTTTAGTTTCATATTAACAGGTGACAATACAATAAAAAAGGTTTAGTGTCAGCAGTATACTTTTTGGATTGTTTCTTATCTTCCTGACATTCACATTTCTCCTTTATGTTAATTTTAGTAAAATACACCAAATGATAACAATGACCCTCAGAATTTCTGTGTTAAATGTTTGTTTGTATGTTCGTTTACAGAAGTGGCGTTCCAAGATGCCGTTGAGTGTTCAGTGGATATCAGGGCTGTCCCGTGGTGTCTCCACCAGGGCGGCGCTGCGACTCTTTGTGGTCACTCTCTGCGTGCTCATCACACTGCTAATGGCCATCCTCAACTTTGTGAGTCTCTCTTCTGCCTCTCGTTTATTTAATCATCTTTCTCTCTTTTTTCTTTCCATCAATAACATTTGTCTCTGCTGTTTTTTTTTCTTTCAGGTCTTCCTCCCGGGAAACAACTGCATGTCAATTACTAACAGGACAGAGCTGGAAGGTCTCAGACTCTACAATGGGCCTGTAAGTGCCTCCAAATAAACATTTCACCGTATTATTTATCAATGTTTTATCTTCATTATAGCTTATATGTAAAGTATAGTGATGCAGTATTTTGTTTTACTTTTCCTGAAGTCTTTTTCTGAACCTTGCTGATAAATCCGGCCAACACTGGGCTTTTAATGAACTGAATGTGATGTCTTCTTAAAAACCTCCACTCATCGTCATCCCTTGCCAATACAACAGTGATTCTTCCTAACATATTTTAAAAGCTGTAATAAAATGTTAAATTTTTTTGCACATTTTACATTTTACAAAAGAAACAAAACACATACAGATACACACGGAAAAAAATAAGAATAAAAAACAAAACAATTTCTCTATCAAAAAGTACAGATTTGTTAGGATAACTCAGATTTCAGGTGATGAATGAAAGAGCTTCTTCAGCCACTAATTGAACAGTTAGTGCTTCAGTTCTTTGTACTACTTCATTATTTCTTCGTTTACAAAGAAGAAATGTATCCTAAAGGTATCTCTACCTTCGACAAGGTAGTCTACAACCCCAGGAAGTGTTCATAAAGCTTCTTTCGAATGCTGAGAGCTTCAGTACAACCTTTGAACATCACACATCACTTGTCATAACCCACATTCTTTTCTCTTCCCATGACCTCTGTCTTCAAACATCTAGTACTACCTGTACTGCTGCCTGCTGGCCATGCTGGGAGTGATCGTGTTCGTCAGGACGTGCTTGTCAGTGAAGACGCTGCTGCTCACCCTCGCTGTGGTGGTTTACCTGGCCCTCTTCCTCCATGTTTACGCCCCGAGGTCCCACTGCCTCGTCGACATGCTTTACAACAGCACCAGGTGAGTTATACACAAAAGTTTGGCAAATAAAATATATTAAAAACTGATTTTTTTAACGTGAGAAGATGTAAACAAAGCCTCTGTTAGGATATGATATAACAAAAATAATTGTGTCATGTGCAAAAGTTTGGGCACCCCAAGAGTTCTGCCATCTCAGATTAGTTTTTAAAAGGTCTCAGACTTTAATCAGCTTGTTAGGCCTAAGGCATTTTAACAGATGTGATTAGGAAGCGTCAGCTGGAGCCAATTTCAAAGCTTTGCAAATACTCCGACTCTTCAAAAAAGCAGCTGTGTAACGGCTCCTCCACACGGCCGACCTGAGCAGCATGTGTGTGCCTGAAGATTATTTGAATTTAATTCAAAGGAGGCAGCAGCAGGATAACTGTGATTTCTTTGTCATGTTGATTTGCTTTTGTTGCCCAAATAAAGTTAATAATAAAAATAAAGTTACTTTGCTGGTTCCAGCATTTTGTGGATTGGGATCATTATAAATTGAAAAGCTTTGGGTTTTCTTTTGAACATGTCA